GAACTGAAACACTTTGCTGTACAGCAGAAATTAACACATTGTAAATAAAAAATACTTCAATTAAAAAAAAAAAAAAAAAAAGAAAGAAATGAGAGAGTTGGGGAAATCTGAATCAGTATTTGTTTATATTAAGGGATCATTGTTAAATTTTAAAGGGAAGGTAATGGTATTGTGGTTTTGTTAAAAAAAAATACGCATTGATGTATTTATGGATAGAACAGCACAATGTCTATACTTTGCTTTGAAATAACCCAGCGGCAGGGGAGTGGTTCTGGAATTGGATGAAGGTATAGATGAAGCAGGTATGGCCTTGATTTGATAACTGCTGAAGCTGGGTACATGGAAATTTATTAGACTGTCCTCTCTCTTTTTGTGTATGTTTGAAATTTTCCATAATGAAAAGTCCCCAAGTAGTGAAAGTCCTTTGCTTAATTCATGGAGATTTCCTACATGTGTGCTTCACATATATAAGTTCAGGGAGCCAGAACTGGATTTGTGACTTCCTGAGTGAACTGGTGCTGGTTATTTAACTTCCCTGAGTTTCAGTTTCTCCATCTGTAAAATGGGAATAATAACACCTTATTAATAAATCAGTGTTGTGAGGATTAAATGAATTCAGTAGCACAAAACTTCTTCCCTTTCTTTCTCTTGCTGGGTACACACATCATTGATTAAAACTACATTTTCCGTAGTAACATCTTCAAGAGCAGGATATTACTGCTGAGACGGATTCCTGTAGTGCTTCGTCCTTGGAGGATGAAGAGGACCTCTCAAGATTTACTCCTTATTGACCTTGGCTAATCTTCCCAGTCTGGGATCAAGGCACCTTAACTTTATAAGGAAACGGTCTGGGCTCTTCACAATGGGGTTCATTCTGATCACAGGTTCAGCCACAAGAGCCATTGTGCTTCTCCCATTGAGAAAGATGAAAACCATGGAGGCTGGATTTATTTAAAGTAAATAAGGTTCTGATTGCAGAATGTCCCTGCACCTTCGCTCTCTGGAAGACTGAGCACAACCTTACAAAGTTAATGATGTGCTTATTGGAAAGTTAGTAGCGTAGAATCATGCCTTCTATTTATCTAGCTCTTTGGGTCTTAAAGAATTCTAACCAACTTTATACACTGTACAAATTATATATCTCTATATACGCCTGTATATATAATGTGAATAACCTGACTTGTTTTCTATCTTCTCTAGCTGTAAAATTTTGAACATATCCTAAGAAACGAGAAATTAATATTTGGAGAGCATTGCAGTGTACTTGGATGAAATGCTTTTGGTGCATTTAGAAGCAGCTCTCATGATCTTATTTTTATTTAAATTCATTGCTGCAATTGTTACCTCTTCTCCAGGATGCATCCCACTTGTTCACTGCTTTTTGAATTCATCTCAGAATTCCTCCATTAGTGAAATCTCCTTTTCTTGGTAACAATACCTTACATTTACGTTTCTTACATGTAAGATGGCACCTGGCAGTTTTTAAAACACTTAATTTCTGTGGTACTTGGCAGTTTTAAACACACTTTTGCATTCATTATCTCATTTAATCCTCACAGTGGTGTTGTGAACTAAGCAGGGCACGTGTTATTATTTCCATTTTACAGGTACAATTTGCTGACTTTCAGTGTTGGAGGGTGGTGCCTTTAAGATCACAGAGTCTGACTCTCTTTCGTACTAGTGAAAATCTGGGTCTCAGAGAGGGTGAGAGCTCTCTAGTTTCACGCTGCCCATCAGCAACAGAACCAGGATGAGCATCTGTGTGACCCCAGTCTTGACTCCTTGGCCTTCAGCCCTGGTGTAACCCTCACCTGAGCAAACTGCATTCTACCTGGCTCAGAGCAGTACTGACCACCGGAAGCCAGAATCACCTGAGGGAGCTGGTTAGAAATATAGATGGATGAGTGAATGAGTGAATCAGTCTTGTAAGTAAAGGCTCCAAAATCTGCATTTAAAACTCACTCAGCTTATTATTCTATATTGAGAAGTGTGACAGTGGTTTGTTGGGTTTAAGCTCTGTGGCTCCGATCCTCTTTTTATGTGGTGGTTTTGAGGTGCATGGCCACCATCATGAATTCCTCTGTATGAATTCCTTGGTATCCTTTGATTTCTTCACTGCCACATGTTGAACTCCCATTGCTCGGTGATATGTCTGTGATGGTGCCCTTCCTTTCCAAATTATCATTTGGACTCTGTTTTAAGCTTAGCACCAGGTTGGCTGGTGTTAAAGGGGCTGTGGGACTTACCAATAGCACTGCCATTTGGGACAATGTGAGTGGCTGTTGGGTGATGCCAATTGTGGGTACACATCTACAGCTCCGGTAGCTGGAGAACAGTGTTTATTCTTCCTCTAGGGTGACAGAAGTGTGCCAGAACCCGTGCTTAGTGCTTTCATACATTACCTCTTTTAATCCTAAAATATTTCTGTGAGGCAAGGCAGTAGGTGCAGTTATCCCAATTTGAAAGCGTGGTAACTAAAGCTCACATAATTTGTCCATGTTCTTGTAACTAATCAAATAATGGGGCGAGGACTCAAACAGTTGGTTGATTCCAATATCGATGGCTTTATCCTCCATGATATATTCTTTTTTTTTTTTTTTGCGGTATGCGGGCCTCTTACTGTTGTGGCCTCTCCCGTTGCAGAGCACAGGCTCCGGACGCGCAGGCTCAGCGGCCATGGCTCACGGGCCCAGCCGCTCCGCGGCATGTGGGATCTTCCCGGACCGGGGCACGAACCCGTGTCCCCTGCATCGGCAGGTGGACTCTCAACCACTGCGCCACCAGGGAAGCCCCATGATATATTCTTGATTCTCATTATTCATGGATTCCATATTTGTGAATCTGCCTAAATTTTTTTCACTAAAATTAGTTTGCAGCCCCCAAATCAATATTTGTCTCACTTTCATGATTATTCATAGACATGCACAGAAGGATGAAAAATTTGAGTTACCTGATGCACACGTTTCCAGTTGGAGGTGCCTTCTTATTTCAGCTCTCAGACTGTAAAATAGTGTCCTTTTCACAGTTTATTTAGTGTCACTGTTTTCACACTCTTGTGCTTTTTGTTGGTGATTTCACTGTCTAAAATGGCCCTCAAGCATAGCGCTGCATTGCTGTCTAGTCGTCCTAAGCACCAGAAGGCAGTGATGTGATGTGCCTTACAGAGAAAACACCTGCTAGGTAAGCTTCCTTCCCGCATGAGTCACAGTGCTGTTGGCCGCAAGTTCAATGTAATGAATCAAAAGTACATTTTAAATAAGGTGTCTTTCAACAGCAGACAAAGTTATTTATTGATTGGTTGAGGAAAATGTGACCAGAGGCTAGCAGGAACCTAACGCCGTGCATCTCTTCGGAGCAATGGTACAGTCGTCGCGAATTGTGTGTTCGCGGGACTTTATAGAACCGCGAATAACGAGGACCGATGTCATTTCCTCGCGAGGAACCCAAGAGGCCAAGTGCAAAAGCGCCCTCTGTGGCCAGTCCAGACCTCCAGACTGGGTTTCTTGTGGGGTCTCCCGGCTTCTCATGTGGTCAGCCAGCCTCGGGTGTGTCAGCTCCTTCGCTAACTCTGGGCTTCCCTGTTCTCTCCCGCAGAGGGGTACAGCCGAGCCCTTCCTGAGGCTCCACAACTTGTACCCCACCCCGCGCTGGGCCAGGCAGGACCGCCCTGCCCAGGCTGAGCCGCCGGGCGGTCAGCCAGCACTCCTACCGGCCAAACCGCTTCCCCTCCGTGCCCCTGGACCCCATGGAAAGCCCCACCTCCCAGGCGGACCTGGAGCTGGACTACAACCCTCCCCGCGTGCAGCTCAGCGACGAGACGTTCGTCTTCCAGGACAGGCGGTGGGTGGGTGAGTGAGAACTGTCGCCCGCAGCCCCCCTACTTCTCCCCGTCCTCGTCCTTCCACCACAAGCTGCACCACAAGCGGCTGGCCAAGGAGTGCCTGCGGCAGGAGGAGGACAAGGCCCTGCGCGCGGAGAACCAGGCCCTGCGCGCGGAGAACCGCACGCTCCGCGAGGGGAACAAGATCCTGCAGGTCTTACGGGAGGTGCACCAGGCCGCGCTGGGCCGCGAGGACGGCCGGGCCTCCTCGCCGCTGCGGCACAAGGACAACGCCTCGTCCCTGGAGGCGGCGAAGAAGGACCCGGACCTGCAGCTCCTCCGGGAGGAGAACCGGGCCCTGCAGCAGCTGCTGGAGCAGAGAGAGGCCTACTGGGCCCAGCCGGACGAGAAGGCGGCCTCGCCCGAGATGAAACTGGTCCCCTCGCCCCATGAGGCGCCCCACGGGCTGCTGCCGGGCCAGGGCGCGGGCCTCTCCTCCCGCTTCGAGGAGCCCAAGGGCCCCCAGGCCCCGCGGGAGGACTCCGAGACTCTCCGGGCCCTGCATGAGATGCCCAGCAGCCTGTCGGGGCAGCCCAGGGAGGAGGCGGGCAAGGCGGGCCCGGGCCTGCCCGACGGCGGCCAGTCCCTGCAGCTGCTGCGGGAGATGAGCCAGGCGCTGCAGGCGCTGCGGCAGGAGAACCGGGCCCTGCACGTGCTGCGCGAGGAGCACCGGATTTTCCAGGAGAGCAAGGCGCTGTGGGAGAACAACAAGCTGAAGCTGCAGCAGAAGCTGGTCATCGACCCGGTGACCGAGGTCACCGCCCGGATGGAGCTGCTCATCGAGGAGCTGTACGCCTTCATCCCGACCGAGAACAAAGACCCCAAGAAGCCCAGCAGGGTCTGAGGCTCCCCGTCCGAGCCGCACCGAAGCCCAGAGCGGGCCACCAAACGGCATCGCCCGCCTTCCCGTGGTCGCCTCGCCTGCCTCCACCAGCTGGTGCCCGCGCAAGAGCAGAACGAGTGGCCTGGTCAACTCAGAGAAGCAATAAAGGCGTGAGAAGGCTAGGGCCGCTAATCGCGCGTGCTGCTCTGCTTTCTTTCTCATTTTTCTTTCTTTTGAGCGCTTGCGGGCGCACGGCAAAATGGAGCAGAAAGTACAGAGATTTCCCACATACCCTCTACCCCACACACCAACCCGCAGCCTCCCCGCTATCAACATCATCCGCCAGAGGGCGCACTTGTTACAACTGATGAACCTGCGTTGACGCATCATTATCACCCAAAGCCATGGTTCACATTAGGGTTCACTCTGGGTGGGTTCATTCTATGGGATGGAACAGAGTATTTACAGAGTATATTCACGGCCCTAGAACTCCTTTGTGCTCTGCCTGTTCATCCTTCCCTGCCTCCCACCCCTGGCAACCACCGATCTTTTTACTGTCCCCATGGTTTTGCCTTTTCTAGAGTGTCATATTAGTTGGAATCATACAGTAGGCAGGCTTTTCAGCAGCAGGCATTTCAGTCTCCTCCATGTCTTTTCATGGCTTGACAGCTCGTTTCTTTTTAATGCTGAACGCTGTTCCATTGTCTGAATTTACTGCAGTGTGTTTATCCATTCACCTACTGAAGGACTTCTTGGCTGCTTCCAAGTTTCGGCAATTATGAATCTGGCTTCCTTTTCTGCTTTTTTCTCTTGTCTCTTCCTTACCTCAGCCTTCATTATCATCTGTTTTTCATTTCCTCCCTTTTTCCTTCCTTGTTTTCCTCCCCTTTCTCCTGTCCTCCTTGCTCTCTCGTCATCTGTTGAGGTCATAGTGCGGAGGGGAGGATGCGGGAGAAGGGCCCACTCAAGGCCAGGACTTTTCGCCTGGGCTGCTGGCGACACTGGGCTGGAAAGCTCTGTCTAGGGCTGTCCCGTGTGTTGTAGGATGTTTAGCAGCATCCCTGGCCTTTGCCCACTAGATGCCAGTAACAGCCACCTGACCCCCAGCTGTGACAAGCAAGTGTTTCCAGGCTTTGTCAAATGGCCCCCGGGGGTGGGAGGTAAAACCCCTGCCCCACTCCCAACACTGCTCTCAGAGAATCTTCCTGGAAACAACAGCCCTTGAAATGCTCTGAGAAAGTGAAGGTTTCCATGAGGGGAAGACAATCCTTTCGGGCAGATTCATGATCACACTCCAGCTTAAAGGGTCTGAGAGGTCCTGCGATGAAGAAAACCGCTTATCTTCGGTGAACCCAGAATTGGCCAATTTTATCTGATCTTGAAATCTTTCAAATTTTTTTCTTTGAAATCTCTGTTTATGTGACTCTGCTGATCACCCAGTTTGGGAAGGGGTGCCCTGTGCACTCCCGACGCCTAGACTCGCCTTCCTGTCCAGTAGAGGCTCAAGACTGGGCCCAATTCCCATTTCAAAGGCGGACATACTTTAGAACCAAGAGGTTGAAAGGTACCCTCAGGGGACTGCAGGAGGGAGGTGGACAGAGGTTCCCCGAACTTCGCTGTGGAGTAGAGTCACCTCAGGGTCTTTGAAAAATACTGATGCCTGGACTCCACCCCCAGACGTTCTGACTTAAATGGTGTTGGGTAGGACTGGACATCGGGAGGGTTAAAAGCTCTCCAGGTGGGTCCAATATGCAGCACAGCTGAGGAATCACCATGGTAAGGTGATTCCATGGTAAGGTGAGCTAAGACACCTGATTCTCAATAGAATGCTCCATTCTCTAGCCATGGGTATAAGTGAGTAGGTGCACGTGAGGGAAACGAGTCTACTCACTTTGCTGATGGAAAACTCATTGTGACGGATGTGAGCTTGAGACTGGACTGTCCTTGCTCCTAACGCGTTGTTCACGCTGGCTCGATTTCTGAGGTTTGAGCAAATTCCAGAAGGTGAGCCAAAGGCAGCAGCCCACACCTGCAGAGCTCCTCGCCCATCACTTTTCTCTTGATGTGACCCCCGTGGTCCTCGGCACCTGCACGGTAGGCATTTAGCGTTCCTCGTACGGCTCTGACACTTAACATGCCACGTGATTTGCCAGAGGCTATAGCCAGCTAGGAAGAGCCGAACTGGGGCTTCAGCACAGACCTAATGATGGTGGATCTCAAACTCGTATTAGATCACGTTGCCAGGTAAACCTGGGCTCCAGAAAATGAAGTTTAACAATGGTTTTGGTGCCTGTTTTCCAGATTTAGGAACTTGAGTCTTATCCAGAATAGCATCAGAAATTCCAAATGAGGGAGAACAGAGTATATCCTCTCTCCAGGCAGTGACAACGTATCTAATTGTACACAGGATGGAAGGTGACTCATGGGCATGCAGAGGACACGTCATTTAGTCCCCTTTTGCCACCAAAATCTGATAAATAGGAAGTTGTTGCTAATGGGCCTCTGGCCCTTTGCAGTTTTTCCCTTCTGAACTTGGTAAATGCATCATGCTGGGCATCATGAACTGGTCCCTGGTGCCAAAGAGGTTGGGGACCACTGCCATACTTCGTTTAAGTCAATGTACTAACCCCAGGGTGTAGGGCTTTTTTCATTTTCGTTTCTTGATGAAACCAAATTGATTTCTGTGATTCTAGACAACTGGAAGGCACGCTGTCACCGTGTCTGTGTTACAAATATTTAACTTGGAGTAAGCTATCTAACAGCAGTCGGAGGGTTTCTTGCAAGCTGAGGGAGCTCGGAGGACTTAACACTGTGAACTTTCTCTGTCATGCAGGATCTAAATGGGTGAAAAATTAGCGAGACCAACCATAAAACGTTATTTTTATGGAGTGGGGGAGCTTTACCTCAAAACAGTGTTTCATTGTGTAGTGCAATCTGTCACAGATTAGCTAACATCCAGCGGCAGCTAACCTCTTGGAGAATAGAGTGAAATTTCGTTCTTCGTGGAGAGCTTCCTTTAAGCATCTCTGCTCCTTTTCCAACTCTTTCTGTTGCCTCCGGGTCCACCCTGAAGTCCTTCTCTAACGGCCAAGCTTGTTTTCTCTATGCAAGTCAGGTCTTGGCTCCAAGCTTCTAGGATTTGCCTTTAGAGAGCTAAGCATTCTACCTTTCCTAGCCTCTCTCATGTGGCCCTTGGCTTGGCTGGCTGGCACTCTTGGTTGCTGGAATCAACTGTAATCCTCCTACTGAATTGCCTGAGTCCTGGCCGTCAGCCTATTTTGTGCTTGTAAATTGAGGGTCAGGTCAAATAGGGAACACTCACAACCTTAAACTAGTATTTAGTTAATGGAAACTAAAGAATTAGAAAGAATATTTTCAATAGGAAAATCATCTGTGCGAGACTGATCCTTCGGCCATAGGAATCAGAATCAAAACAGTTGTGGAGAAAATCTGGTAGGCTTTTGTATGCTCAGATTCTCTTCTTTTTTTTTTTTAAACTCTTCTGTCCCTCGGTGTTCAGATTCTCTTCTTGAACTCTTCCCTTTTCTAAGGACTTTTCATAAAGTGGAGTGACCTCCACCTGCCTGTCGGGAATGCTTGCAGGACCCAAGTGGTAGGTCGGGCAGCATGGGAAGCAGCTGGGAGCTGGGTGTGTTGGGCTAAGGTGTCTGATGGAGGAAGTTGGAGAGCCTTATCAATAACCATCATTATGGGCTTCCCTGGTGGTGCAGTGGTTGAGAGTCCGCCTGCCGATGCAGGAGACACGGGTTCGTGCCCCGGTCCGGGAAGATCCCACGTGCCGTGGAGCGGCTGGGCCCGTGAGCCATGGCCGCTGAGCCTGCGCGTCCGGAGCCTGTGCTCCGCAGCGGGAGAGGCCACAACAGTGAGAGGCCCGTGTACTGCAAAAATAAAGAAAAAAAGTAGCCATCATTATATTGTCCCCTGAGTTGAATTTCTGATTCATCAGATGGGAAATGGCTTCCACCGAGAAACCAGTCAATGTTAGAATATCCTGGATATGCCAAGAGCAGCTCCTGGAAACTGCATTCTTTCTGTTCATAATATTGAGTCCCTGAGTTATTTGCAGCAGACAGCACGTTTGTGCTTGGAGCTACCCACCGCCCTCCTCATTCACGTGCAAGTCTTCTTAAGCTTGAGCTCTTGCCAGTGTCTCTGGGTAAACAGTTCTCTCCAGGTTCCTTACCCTCTTTGTTCATTCAAACAATGGCCTTTGTGACCAAAAACAAAGTTAGGGGCAGGTGACAGATTATTTTTAATGCTGTCAAGACAAGTGGCTGTTTAGTTTATGACATGTTCTCCCTTCAAGCCCGCCTTTATTCTTTGCAAATAGGGTGATTCAGAGCTCTCCCATCAGGAACCCTTACACCATGGGAAGACTAAATCCTAAACCCTTTTCAGAAATCGGTCAGTTGTCGCTCAGTGAACACTGTGAGGGATGGAATAGAACTTCCTGGTTGTCAGTTACTTTTCGTGGACCCGTGGTCAGGTTGTCCTCACCTTTTCCCTTTCCTTCACTCATTCAGCCAGTCATCAGGTCCTGTTGGTGTTACCTCCTAAACAGCCCTTGAATCCTACCTCTCTCTGTTCCCATGGGTGTGACCCTAGTCCCGGCCACCGTCATCTCCTGGGTGACTGCTCCCAGTCTGAGTTTATCTCCACATATGGCCACAAGCTTACTTTCAGCCCATTCTTCGTGTTGCAGCCAGACTAGACTGATTTTGTTATATATGCGAATGTTGTATTATTTCCTTATTTAAAATTCATCGCTAGCTTTCCACGGTCTTCAGGGTACAATAAAACTTTACTATGGGTCTCTGGCTTAAGTGTGGATGCTACTTTATAGTCTTCTGAACATACTGAATTCACTTAACACATCAGCGCTTCTCAGGGCCCCCAGTGGGCTCCTTCAGGGTTCAACGTCATCTCATCAAATGTCCGCCTCGTCTCTTGGAGGTTACGTCCAGAGACGGGAGATTCCTTCTCCTGGGAAGGGCAGGCAG